TCTATATATACTCGTGCCCCCTCAAACGATAGGGCGTGTGACGGGCTCGGATTGAGGCTGTCCAAGCGCCCTTTTCCTACAGTGATGCTTTGGCAGCACTCCAGTGCACGCCCTTCACACGTCCTATCGTTTGCAGGGATCATGGCTGTATTTCTGCGTCTACATCTCATTTCAAACGGCTAGTTCGATCTATCCTTTCTCGTTTCCCGGTTAGCAGCCTCTCAATGATGTCGGCTCTACTGGAATTTTACTGAGAAACCCCTTTTGAGAAGAAAACAACAGTGGTGGGAACGCCATTGATGGACTCATCCCATCGCTTATTAAACCACCCTAACCGACTGGGACGTGGTCAACCGCGCATTCTACTTATTGGAGAAGAAATGGAGAGGTTGCAACCCTTATATGAACACGAAGTTGTATAGGTTATTTTGTGGGAACTTCCCATTCAACGGAACTGAATGAACTACCTGTGCCCTCCTCGCTACCCCTACAATAAATATGCTTAAATTTACATCTACAAACCATATACTTTCGTGACATGCCTTTATCCCCAGCTCCTTCCGATAAAGAGGCCTGAAATCAACTGTGTATAGCACAGTCTGAAAAATTGTTGGACCGATTCACTCAAAAATACTCTAGCATCCCCAACGACAACAGTAATCCTATACCAGTGTTGACTTTTTGTGGTTGTTGATACTGTATTGTTTCCCCTGAGTTTTCCTTATGCAGCTCCACACGCAAACCAGTAAAGAATGAGGTTCACAGACAGCAGAAAAAGTACATTGTAACCTACTTTTCTGAACGTATTTTCGGAGTCTTGAAAGCGATACTGTTTCCCGTGCACTTTTCTACTTTCAGTGATTGTGAGTACTCGACAATCGAGAGGTTTCGTGGTCCATAAGGATATCCTCCACCAATTCGTTTCACTTTTCGTATCTGAAGTAACAGCCCTCACAGTTCATCATTCAAATTGCATGGAATGAAAAACAAGAACTCAAGGAGCCTAATCACTTGTACGAGATAAACCAAACATCCACTTCTACGTACCAATAATGTTTTCATCACTACTGATAGCGGGAAGGAGGGGGGGGTAGGAAAGGTGCATTCATGCCAGAGTCCTCAAGACAGTTTCAGAGTTTGCGATGAAGTGCGTCGACGCGCTGCAAGGCTCGTCGACGCGTTACTGCTTGCACAACGCCACAATTCCATAGAAGCGAACGCAGCCGCGAAGGGAATCGATGTTTGTCGCCCTCGTGGTACCAGACTGCGTGATCAAGCATCGTTCCCGCATAGTATAGTTTCTCAATATCTAGGCGGACGGCGAAGATCGATCCCTGACTGCAGCTACATTTGCTTCTACAAGATTGCCGCGTTGTTGCACTTGCAGCGCGTTACAGTGCGTTGACGCGCATTGTCGCGAAGTCTGAACACCGCCTCACTCCTCAGACAAAATCGTCGCTGGAATGGGACCAGGTCAGCTTCGGGGACGCCCTAAAGAAATTTGATTGGTCCTGAGGGATACCCGGATCAGGTCACTGTGACTAAACTCAGCTTCAATAAATACACCGAAACCTATATGGTTGCACGGCCACATTCCTCAAGTGTTAGAATAAATCTCAATAAAAGTGAGAAAATTATTTTGGTTTAATTTTTGAAAGGGGTGGTCAAACCAGAGGTCTTCGATTAAAAGGGACTCACCCTCACCTGTGAGACACGACGAGCACGAGCTAGGCGGAAGCCTGTGGATATAGATATCTGATGCAGCAGATTCCTATACCTCCATTAACCAACCAAGCTGGTAGGGCCTATCAACCCTTCTACTAAGTACAGTTATGGCAAACTGGACCATCTAGTGCCCAGAGATAAAGCCCTCACCGCTGAAGTCGTTCAGGGAGTACAACGTCAACAGTCAACGATACCTGAGTTTCTACTCGATACGAAACCCTTTTCTCACCGTTTAATAAGTTCTTCTGTGCACACGAGTTGTTGTTAGGTGGAAACTTTATTATGGCCTGACGTTTCGACTAGATCGTCTTCATCAGAGGCCTAAACGTGGCTCATGGTTTGAAATTGCTCTCTCTACACCGCCAAAGATCTCCTCCTCCCTAACGTTTCTGAATTTGAAGTGAAAGTGGTATATTTCATGCTCTAACTTCCCGAAGTGCGAAAGACGTGGCTGCGTGCTCTTGTCGCGCAGCTTCGACTGCACTTTCGGCAACATATTTCCATTACGCGGCTCTATCATGCCTCTGCACAAAACAAGGTAATATGACGTGTCAGATTGAAACATCGCCTATCCTATGTCATGTTCAAATGAAGTGAACAGTCACGCCTACCACGTCCCAGGGATGGCAAGTGTAGCTGTCCAGCCCTATTCATGATTCATACGGTTCCAAAAAGTGATCACTAACCTCAACCATTTGAATCGGAATACCGGATCTGCCCGAGTGCTCATCCCTGTGAACAAAGGTCGAAGGTGCTGCAGTTCGTATTAACGTATAGCTTTTAGGCGTTTTTCCGATAGGAATGGGGATCGGAACGGCATCGACGTCATTCATTGAAGGATCCTCGGTAGAGTTCTTCTCGACGGAGAATGTTGTGCTGGTGAAATCTAAGGTGCTTCGAAGGTTTTTTGTTGTTGTGTCGATGGCATAGATCAGCGGAAACGGAACGAGGTCCTTTTTGGATAACATCGATTTGATACCGTAAATGTTACTCAAGCCGTACCGTTGGAAACTTCGCAGTGCATCTTGACCTGAAAGTTCCAGAAGTAATTGTATTGAGACTTAAATGGGAAATAGTAGCACTCATGTTCTCGGGACCCGCTGGATTCCATAGCAAAATTGCAATCCTGATGTATTTCTAAAGAGCCTCAGTTATGGGCAGAAGACTCAATCTATCCAGGGCTAACTTTAACCTCACGTTTGGTGTATAAACCGCTTCACCATCAAGGCCGCCTTCGGCCCTGCTACGATCAACTTAATGGTTTTTTGTCATAGCTCACCACTACTGACATGCGTGAAGGACCGATATCGACAATGGATTGCCAAGCTGAAAGGTCTGAGGAAGTCGTCTGCGCGATTACAGATTGTGAGAGGTAGGGTTAGAGAATTGGTGCTAAACCCTGTGAAAACACACCAATAAATACGCCTCATGCTCTTTAAGAAAGCGCCCACAATCAGACTTTCTGGCAAATCGGTTATTA